GGGGATCATTAAATCAGTCAATTATATTCATTTGTATATATATTATAACTTTTGTGTGACCTATTGTGAGTTTTGCTTCTAATCTGTTGGGTTTATTATTAGCAAACAAATTAAACTCAATGTGTTGCAAAGGGGTGATAGTCTGAAACTATAACTAAGCAAAAGGATAAAAAGATTTTTTTTTAAATTATATATATTATTAAAGACATATTATTAATATATTGCAGCAGACACAGGGTCATCATTATTTTGTATATATTTAGGGAGACAAAAGTCATCACTGAAAAAGCAGAAGTTGAGGGAGCTGAGGGGAAGGCAGCTGGATCTACCAGATCCAGATGTGGTTAGAGTAAAACAAAAAGCTAACATGTCATTTGATATCCTGAGGTCCTTTACAAATGCACCCCTGCATTAAACACCAAAATACAAAGTGTCATAGGAAAAGACCTCAGTAACAAAGGCTCGCGTGGGAAATTCTTCTCCTCCTTTCTCCATCACAGCTCTTTCATTCCCTCACACTGCTAAATATGTCACTCTGTTTCTCTCGTGTTTTTGCTCCATAGCTGTTTCAGTCAGGGGCAGCTCATTACGCAAGATTTCATTACACTGTGTAAGAGACACAACATAAATAACTTAATATTGTGTTAACTTGCTCTAATTAGGCCCATAAATTAGTCATGGCCACCTTATGAAAGATGATTTAATTTCACATGGCATCTATCAGCATGTTTGGGATAGTTATGAGTAGAATTTTAAAGAGAACACGGACCTGAAATTTGCTTTGCTTCCACATCACGACATTGTTATAAACAGCATGTATTATTTATTCAATGTAAAATAAACATTTGTCTTGCTTTGTCACTCCTTTAATTGTCTACTGGTGTGTTTCTTATAGACTGTGATTCTTAAAAGTATTTATTGGATCTGTATTTATGAAGCTATAACCAGAAGTCATTAAGCTTGTTAACTAATAAAGAAATAAATTAACGTACTCTTTATTCTTTCTGTTAAAGCTAAGCCACCTTTAAACACATGCTACTGTATTAGCCTTTCAGTTGAACCCTACAATATGGGACTCTTATCACTGTCTGTTTCGTCATTAGAGATTCAGAATCCTTCAGGGGTCAGTTTCTTCTGCTCACCAAAAACCTCATCAGTACTGTTGATTAAATCCAGGTTCCAGTTTAAAAAAATCATAAAAAAAATATTGTGGTATTTTACTGTGTAGTCACCATGTTTCAGCTCTTAGACAGTTGGTTACTCTAACTGATGCAGCTCACCATTCATGACCCTGAGATCCATTCACAGGAGGGTGTGAGTCAGCTGTTGCGCTAACTAGCTCAAACTGTGACTTTTTAGAGGTTTTTCTCGGCTCCCTTGAGCCCTTCAAGCCTTGTTTCCTACTCATGGCTGAAGGGTAAAAACAAACTGTGCTATTCTGTGATCTAACTCAGCTCAAATGTTGACATTCAAGACTCAGATAAAATATCTGAGGAGAAAACTATAAAGGAGAATATCACTTTGACTGCAATTGGGACTGACAGGATACAGCTGGGATCCAGTGGTTAAAAAAGGGGGTGGGCACTGTTTATTTTTATGCCCAAAGAAGAATTCCTCTACATAAATGTAGCAAGTCACACTTTTAATGGCTGGTGAAAGAGAAAAGTGGAAATTGATGCTATAAAAGAAAATCTGTTCTTTGTGCTTCTCTGTGATGACCATTACCACCAGATGTTTGCTGACATACGGCTTCTGGTGTGAGGACATTCTTACTAAAACAATAGCTTCTATCTATATATTTACAAAAATAAAATGCTGTGCAAAAGTCTTAAACCACCTCTCATTTTTCAATGTTCAATGTTTCAGTGTTTGCTAGGAAAATGGTACACGGGTGCAAAGATTGATTGAAATTTGCAAACATAAATGAACATGCAGTAAATAAGGTCAAAACAGAGTAACGAGCTTAAAAGTCAATATTTAATATGATATTATTTATACTTTAACAAAACCTGAACTCTCTACGGTAAGCTTTCTAGGAATTTCTTTAAGTAATCTTTAGGAATAGTTCTCCAGGTTTCTTAAAGGACATTTAAAGCTCTTTTTTGGATGTTGGCTGCCTTTAGTTCCATTCCTCTGTCAAGATGATCCCACGCTTTTTCAATAAATTTCAGCTCCGGGCTCTGCGGTGGTCAATCCATGACTGACAGTGATCCATAGTGCATTTTTCTCTCAAGGTGGAGTGTACTCTTACTTGTCCAGGTATGCACTTTGTTAGGGATCATAGTCAAAGACATGACTTTCATATAGGTTAATCTGCTGTACATGGCTTTTTAAGCCTGGTACTTTTCTTCCAGGTGTCTGTGCTGTAGTCCAGGCTGAAATATGTCAGGGTTTTGGCTCTTTGGAAATCCCCTATAGTGCAAAAAATACCGTGTTATGCCTGTCAAACTGTGTTAATATAAAGCATTTTTCATAATTTCACCTACAGAAATGGAGAAAATTATGTTTGTCATGTTTTGTGAGAGGCTGCTAATAACAAAGATATGATTTAAAAATTTCTCTATGCTATGTTGACTGTAATGTGTGGAATTTTTCCTTTGTTAAGACACTTAACAAGTCACATCAAGGACTGGACTGAAAATGGGTGAAAAAGGACAAAAGATCTTCAGAAAGCATGGAGAACTATTTCTCAAGGCCAGTTTAAAAATACAGAAAAGTGTGTTTCCCTGAAATTCTAGCGTCTGGATATAAGGCATGTTAATTAAATGATTGGTAATAGTCATACATTTTAATTTGTCCAGCCCGCTCTGAAGCATTAATATCATTTTAGGCAAACACCTGCCTTACATCTGAAAGAAACTGTATAGTAATTTAATTAGTTTACTCAAAGAGTGCCAAAAATGACAGCCTACTGATCTCCAAAAAATAATAGCTCACGAGTTATATATGAGACAGTGACAGACCACGAGAAAACAAAACATCATAAATAACTAGCGATACAACACAAGATTAATCAAGCACTTCAGGGACATTAGTGTCAGATTGCAGACTGAAAATGATATACACAACAAAAAGCAAGAACTGTCATAACACTCACTCAAACACGCACACGCAGAAATGCTTTTCTCTCACTCTCGAGACATTCTTTTCTTTTTTTCCTCACACATAGACCTTCTGGATAAGCATACACTAATGTACCCGAGCAAGCACATTAGCCGTACTGCAGATCAAACACCAAATCTGTAATTATCTCAGTGGAACACATTTGCATTGAACCTTCACACACAAATTAAAATTCCCTAATGTTACAAGGTCTCGTCTTCCTCTGAAACATCTTGAAAACATTAATTCAACTCATTTCTGAGCATCACACAAATGCATCCCTTCTGATTAGATTTATATAATAATATATAACATAATATATGCCTGCATTCACTACACTGTACTGATTATCCTGCAACAACAAAATGAGATGCCACGCTGAGTAACAACCACTGTGATATTGTGGAATAGCTTAAAAATGTTATAAAATCACACCTGAAAAGCAAAAAAAAAAGAGTTTTGCTACGACTTGAAGATTAGACGTTTATTCTCATGTAATGTCAGGACACCAGGCTCTGTTCTGCTTCATGGATTGGTCTCTATGCTGCATTCTCAGCAGTAGCATCCAGAAATATTATTCATTAACCACTTCACCACTAACTTTAAGCAACTTGCTCGTCACAACTGTGGAGCACGTTGGCTCCTATTTGACTGTTTTCAGACCTCATTGATTACACCTTGGTGTTCTCACCTATCTCATTACCTTTGCTGCAGAAAAGTCCACTCCACTCTCATCATTCACTCCAACTCTCTCGTCTACTCAGCTCCGATCATGTCGCCATAATTTCGAAAACATTGTGTAGTTTCACATTGAGGCCACCTTTTCACGCCTTTAATTAAATCCTTTGTAATCCTGTAATTATACACATCACCCCCTCTCAACCTCCATCCTCTTACCCAGCAAGCAATACAGGCTGCCAGTGGAGAGACATAGTGATCCTGGTTACAGTCAAAAAAGTGTCACTGCAATGAAAAAAAGAAATAAACATTTGGGCTGTAGCATGTTTGCTAATTAGCAAAAGAAAGCACTGATGGGTATAGCAGCTCATCAAATGGTTTCAAACGAACAGAGTAATGAATTAAACTAAACGAAGGCTCAACACAGCTGAATCCTGAATACGATAGAACAGCTTTCAGTTCAGTGGTACTGAATGACTCTTCAGCCCAAAACTGAAAAAAATGAAACTCAGACGATTGCTGTTTGATATTAGTTTTTCCTGAACAGCTGCACAGTTTCCGTCTGGACGAGACATAATGATTAAAACCATGCTCTTTATAATCTTTTTTGTTGTTGTTGTTGTTTTTTTGTATATCGATTGTCTTAATTAAACTATCTTTGAAGCAGACACGTAAAGATGATTTGACCTTTTTCTCTTACTGCACATTGAGGGTTTGTAAACAACTGCTTCACTTCAACCTTAGCTAGGGCGTTTTTTACATTAAGGAGGACGGAGACTTCGGTTTAATTTTGTTCTAGTAGAAATATGATCCTTCATCTCCTACAAGAGCTTGTCCTTTGAATTAGCTATAAGAATGACTGAGATGAAAGGAGCTGATTAAACTCTCTGGACGACTCTATCCTTCATACCACTTCAAGAGCTTGTGTTCTTAATTAGTTCAGGCACTAAGTTGGCCATCTATCATACTGGCGGGCACTGTGCTCAGACTAAGTTCAAGGCTGGAAAGTGACTTACAGAGTAAGAAAGTTACCAATGTTGCTGTTGATTTTCATGCTTCATCCTTACTCAGAGTCATTGTGGTATATAAGGATATGTGCTTTCTAAATACCCGTAGAAAATATATATATATGCTGAGTGAGGTGGATTCACAGGCTGTATGCACACAGTCACAGCTGCTTGCTAATTTGGTGCTAATTAGAGCCAACCATTAGGCATCGTCGCCACAAACACTGCAGAGAGGTCCAGTTTAGTGACTCCAGTTAGCAGAAGTGAGTCAGCTATTTGTTACAGATGCCTACCATCCACCTGTAAATCAAAACAGTCCTAAAATGCATATTTTACTTATCTACTTAAAACTATCCAAAGAAACAAAAAACAACTATCCATACAATTGTCCAGAGGGGGAATATTTGTTCTGCTAAGGGCTAAAATTAGAGGCATGGCTGTTTGATTGATTAGTCTCCTGCCAGAGAGAGCTGCAGATGATTAGTGTCTGTTAGGCTGCTGAGTCACTGAATTGAGTCTGAGGATTGTGTTTGTGCTGTTCATGCCTGGTTGGAGTGTTTTATTGTAATTATCAGACAAATAACATGTGTTTTTTTTTTGTAGTGCAATCGAAGACGTTTGAGCTTTGAGTTTTGGTGAGTGAAATTGTAACATGTCATTACTGTTACTAACTGTTACAGCTTGCTAAAAAAAAGCTTATTAGTGTTAGCTGATCAGTTAGACACTTTAGTCCAAATATGGTAACTCCTGTGTCCAAAAATCAACTCCAGCATGGCAGCAGCCCTAATGATATATTCAGCGCTTTAAAGTTTGGAAACTGGAACCCAATGGGTGATATTATGGCCATGTCCATTTTTTACATACAGTCTGTGGTTTCGAGTCATATTAAATGCAATAAAATGGTCCCTGGTCGTGTCAAAAAGGACAATAAAGCAGTGTATGATTTAAGGCAGGTCCCTGTGACTCATGAGTTGCTTCCTCAGGTCCACCCCGTCTCTCATCACATGCAATTTCATATCATAAAGACAGAAATGACAAAAATATTCCACTAGAAGCTTTACAGGACTTCACCATCCAGTGCAGATGTTTCTGTCTTTTCTAAACTATATGGACAAAAAAATAAGGCCACACTTCTTAATCTTTGAATTGAGATGTTTTCAATCACATTGCCACTGGTGTATAAAATCAAGCACTTAGCCATGCAGTCTGCCTTTACAAACATTTGTGAAAGAATGCCACCATTACAACAAGTCAGTTCATGAAATTTCTGCCCTCCTAGTTATTCTGGGATCAGCTGTAAGTGTTATTATTGTAAAGTGGAAGCGTTTAGAAACCAACTCAGGCATACAGTGGCAGATGACATAAAGATAGAGAGCGGGGTTACTGAGTATTGAGGCACAAACTGTGTGAAAGCGAGCAGCGCTCCGCTAACTCAGTAATTGCAGAATTTTAAAACATCCTGAGTATAAAGCTATATGTGTGCTGGGAGCTTAATGGCATGGGTTTCCATAAGTGTTACATGGGGGTGGCAAGTGTTTCTTGTTTATAGGATTTAATAAATTTTGAAGGTAGCCTCAAGTGGCCATTTTTAAAAAAAAACAAAACAAAAACAACTGTGATTTTTGCTGTTTGAGAGTCAGCCTGAAGCCTTGCTTATATTTTGTCACTAATAGCTGGAATCAAGAAATCCAAGTAGTCATTCCTGGTATTCTTCTTTGACGTCTTATTTATATCCACTGCCTGGCGTACGTGTACAGGTTTTGCATCCTAATGTAAATTCTCGGGGAACAAATTCCCACAGTCAGAAAACCAAACAGACGCACAGATGTCCACACGGACCCTCACGGTCACCATCTGATGATGATATTTTTATCTTTCAGACCTAAGTGGACCTTAGCAGACTCGCAAACCTGGAAAGTAGAATTAAGCCTCAATTTCAGCACTTGGTTCCAGCTCGTTCCACATCGTCCAGTCGCCAGTTATGGGTCTCTCCTGTCTTGGCACAAGGTCAGTACTCATCACAAACTTTGCTACAGCTGAGATTTTGGGCCAAAGATGGTAAATGCATGCAATACGATGAGATTTAGATATACCAGGACCATCACATGGCATTAATACAAGATAATCTTCTGAATTATTGCATCTGAAAGCGATCACAGCACTTTGGCTCATCAGTGCATAGGCATGTCTACTGTGACATATTGTTGTTCTATAATGCACTTTTTGTTAATTTGTTTAGAGCCAGTTGAAAAATATTAAAGCTGTTGTAATCAATATTATAGATCAAATGACTCGGCACTGTATGTGTGTGTGAAAATGGGCACTTTGGGTGATAAACCCAAAGCTAATTATTCAACTCTGCAGTTCCACTCAGCTTTATGGAGCATAGCATCTTCAAACTCATTGTTTTAGTTTTCCTGCCAGCAGCATTTACTGTTTTAGTTCTCTCTCATCAGCGGTGTATCCAGCTGGAGCGGGCAGCTGTTTCCACCAAGACCCCACACTACCTTCCCACTGCCAAACAGCAGATGGATACGGCTTGCGGCTAGCTGGTGAGCAAAGTGGAGCGTTTAGCAGCTAAACGGCAGATATTTCCCCTCAGTGGCCGATAGCGATTAAAAACAACGCTTAAAGCGAACGCTAAACCTTTATTCACCACTTAGTCAAACACACAATTGCAAACGAATACTACAGTTGCAAACAATATTCCAACTCTTGTAGAAAAATGTCAGTGCGCTGCTCACAGATGTTTTCACTCCCTTCAAGTGGTCCGAAAATCAGCTATTTAAGGTTCAATTTATAAATATGTATGAGGGCTTAAAAGAAACTGCATGCAATAGGGTGGAAATTTTCTGCTTGATAAGGCAGAAAATGCTGTCTTAAATCTGAACAAGATGAACTCAGATATACACAATAAATTCAGACTGTAAGTGTGCACAGGAGTAATTGCTTTGCATATATGTATTTGCAGCCACGCGTCACATAATGCAGCAGAATTTGGCTCTGAAAATGGAAAATAAACTTTTGTACTGGAAGAATCCGGAGACGAGCATGTGAGGACTGCACTGATGGCAGCACCCCTAATCATTAAAGTATAAAGGTGCAGACGACATAAGGTGCAGACGACAGGGAGGATTGAAATCACGTTCACCTTTAAACTGCTCATATATCTCTTTAGAATAATGTTGTTTTTTTTCTTATTTTCACCGTTTTTTGCACTACCCTTAAACCAATACATAATTCTGGATATGGAACATGTAATCATAAATAGATAAATAAATAATATGACAGCCTGTTTGACAGAAATAGTTCTGAAAGTGACACCCTGAGGAGATATAGGCATAGAGTCCTCATTAATGCACCTTCACTTTTTTCTCTCCCACAATAACTCACATTACTGTCTACCTGAGAGGAATAAAATCTGTTCTGAATAATGACAGCATGATATGTTAATGCCATTAGACGTCAGCCATATCTCTGAGCTCCACTCTGCTCTCTCCTTCTTCACCTCTGCCCCACCCCATACCCCGTTCCTTGTCTCGTTTCCTTTCTGGAGAAACATTTTTACTAGCATTAGGACAGTGTGTGTGCGCACAGGCACGTGTCTGTGTGCTGCTGTCGCGGTTTCTCAGCCCATCTCCAGATGTCAGGGGGCAGGAGGGCTGCAGATGGTTGTCATTCCCATCTGACAGCGGCAGGAAGAGCGAGACTGAGGGAGAAGCAGTGAAAGAGAGAGAGAAGGGGGGTGAGGGCGAGGTGGGGTAAAAGGAAAGAGAAATAGAGCGTGTGAGGAACAGAAGGACAGAGAGAGACAGCCATAAAAGACAGTAAAGATGCTACTCTTGTCACAATAGTGGCAATCTTGCTCACACTTAAACTCCACTCAGCTTGAGGGGATGTTCTGTACAGCAAAACTGATGGAGTGAAAACACATCAGAAATGTGTTTTTTACTATGGTAACACTGCACTGGAGAGGAAATAACACTTTTCCAAAAATCAGAACAGCATTGTTTTTTTATTTAGTTTTTTTCTAAAGCTGGACTCAAACATGGATGCTCAATATCTGGTTTTTATATGTGACCTGTCAAAGACAGTATTATTTCAAGATCAAAAGTTTCATAAATCTAACATTTTGTGGCTTTATATGAGGCTTTATACTTGCTTTCATTTAGCAGCTAAGTAAGGCTGTTTGCCTTAATATCGACAGTCTTTTCTTTCACGGGCTTACTCTATGTTTGTCAAAGTATACATCATTTGAGAGGTGTGTAAAAATTAAATTTTATTCAGACTAAACCTGGTAAACACATGTGAAACCGTTTGTTTTTTTTAATGGGAAAATGTATTTGAGTAGGGATTAAACGACTGGGGAGAAAAAAAGCAATGTGTAACAGACAGAAATCTTTAATGAACGAGTAAATTCCCACGTAGGATATTCTTTGATGTGGATGCTGGCGCTTGCAGAGAAGTGAGAGGCACAGGTACTCGGGAATGTTGGATTCGACACAGAGAGGAAAGACAGGAACAGAAGGATGAAGTGAAGGTTAATGAGGAGTCTGACGCCGCAGGGAACCTGTCCTTGGCTCCAGACACGCACAGACACCTAAGCACTATGGTAAAAGCCCAATAAAAGCTGTTAACCTGTAGTTTAGCTTACTGGCCAATAACACAGGAAGGTGGCCTCATTAACACACCTAAATATACTCAGAAGACAACAGACAGTTTTGTGAGAACAAGAACAAGCGTCTGTGCAACAGATGACAGCGCACTGGCACTGCATGACATAGAAAGCAGTCATGATGAAGATTAAAACTCCCAAAGTGCACTGCCTGCGAGGAGCTTCATAAATAAAGGAGTTAAAAGGGTTGCAATTTAAAGTGCTGTTGTTTTGGCTTACTGCACGTGTTACCACTCTTTTTAGTTGTGATGAACAATTTATTTTTGCTGTAAGCTACAGATAAATAATTTTTGACATCATCTGCAGTGTACAACAACAAGATTGAACGAACTGAAATGGAAGAATGGAAACAAGGCGAACTTGAACTTTTTTCTTGAATTCCATTTTTTAAATGTATCCATTTTTACTATTTACAGCTTTTGCTAAATATATCGTAAAACACTTGAAAATAGTAAAATTCCAACTTTATGCCTATATTGTTCCTTTTATACTCACTGACCACTTCACTAGTTACAGATTTCGAACTGCTCATTAACTCAAATATCCAATCATCCAATCACATGGCAGCAACTCAGTGCTTTTAGGCGTGTACTTATGGTCAAGATGACCTGCTGAAGTTCAATTGGAGCATAAGGATGGAGATGGCAAATGATTTATGACGCTTTGAACATGGCATCTTTCTGAAATTGATGATACTGGAATTTTCCAGTAGTCCGAGTGAAAATACCTTGTTGATGTCAGAGGTGAGAGGAGAATGCCCAGACTGCTTTTAGCTGAGAGGAATGCAGCAGTAACTCAAATAACTACTCATTACAACCAAGGTATGCAGAAGAGCATCTCTGAACACAGATGGACAACAGCAGCACAAAACCACACTGTATTCCACTCCTGGCATGCAATGTGTGGCATGCAGTGGCTACAAACTGAGCCTACAATTTGCATGAGCTCGCCAATATTAGACAAATTGCACACAGAACACTAAAAGGACAAGCTCTAGAGTATTTATCTCAGCTTCTTATTAAACACACTGTTGCTTCTTGTGTTCAGTCCAGGTTTGAAATTTGTTGTTTGATCCTTGTACAAGACTGAGGACTAGCGGGGACAGAGCCTTTTAGTCTGTGGCACCGACTTTCAATCTTCCACTTCAACTTCATTCAGCTGAGTCTGTGGACTCAGCTTTCTGTTGAGATTCTTATTGATAGGAAGTGTTTGAGTTTTTATTTTATTTTATTTCATTCAATGTTTTAACTGACTTTTGTATTGCCATTAACTATATTTTTTATTTTTCAATAACTATGATTATTCATTGCATTTTTATCCTGATTGTACAGTGCCTTGGGACTACAGGTTTTTATAAATAAAATTTACTTACTGCTATCACATGTGTGTACTCAAAACAACTATTGGTGTAAAAGTGAATATTCACTGATCAGGTATAGCATTATGACCACCTGCCTAATATTGTGTTAATCCTCTGACCGTCAAGGAATGGACTCCACTAGACCCCCAAAGGTGTGCTGTGGTATCTGGCGCAAAAAGGTTAGCAACAGAGCCTTCAAGTCCTGAAAGTTACGAGGTGGGGCCTCAGTTGATCAGACTTGTTTGTCCAGCACAGTCGACAGATGCTCGATAGGATTATCCTGTTGAAAGAGGCCACAGCTATCATTCCGCTTCCATGAAACAGTGTATATAGTCTGCAAAAATTCTTAGTTAGCTGGCACATGTCAAAGTAACATCCACATGGATGGCAGGACCCAAGTTTACCCAGCAGAACGTTGCCCAATGCATCAGACTGCCTCTGCTGGTTTGCTGTCTTCCCTGGCACTCTGGTTCCAGGTGTTCCCCAGGTAACCGGGTTTTCCACATAATGTAACAGAAAATGTAATTAATCAGAAGAACCCACCTTCTTTGAGTTGCTGCTTTCGGTATTGGGCAGGGGTCAGCATGGGTACTCTGACTGTTCTGCAGATATGCAGCCCTATACACGGCAAACTGTGAAGCACTGTGTATTCTGACAGCTTTCTGTCAGAACCAGCATTTCATTACTGAGCTACAGTAGCTTGTCTATTGGATTGGACTATTCGGGCCAGCCTTCGTTCCCCATGTGCATCAATCATCCATGATCCTGTCACTGGTTCACCACTGTTCATTCTTTGGACCACTATAGACACGGACCACTGCAGACTGGGAACACCCCACAGGAGCTGCAGTTCTGGAGATCCTCTTGTTGTCAAGCTTTCACAATCTGGCCTTTTATCAAACTCACTCAAATCCCTATGCATGCACATTTTTCCTGCTTCTAACACACCAACTTTGAGGGCAAAATGTTCACATGCTCCCTAATATATCCCGCCCACTAACAGGTGCCACAAAGAAGAAATAATCAGTGTTATTCACTTCACCTGTCAGTGGTCAATGTTATGCCTGATCGGTGTAATTGGCTGGGGAGATTGTGGCCTAGGCATTGGCAGAATCCATCCAGCTTACTGTACCCCACCTTTACATTCACACACATTGCTCAATGGGAGTCATTACTAACAGGATTGTAAACACATATCACCCTTACTATTCTCATACATTAGGCATGCCTGTGCTGCAGTAAACAGGAAACAGAGAGTGGCTGCTTGTTGAAAATTCAGTGGAGGAAAAACAGCAGTGTAAAATGAGAATAGAATTTCCAATGAAAGTAGCAGCAGTTATAAGTAGGGTGTAATTGTGGCAGTAAACACAGATTAGAAGTTGACACAAAGAAAATAGTGAAATATTAGAGCAGGAAGAAAAGCATTATCCACTGCAAGAGGAAGTGAAGGTGATGGGAAAGGATGAAATCACAAAAACCCTTTTTTTTTTTTTTACTGCTATGACCAAGTCAAGAAACAAACATGTCACCACTGCTTTCTATTCATTCCAGGAGCTTAGCGGTGTTTCTAAAATTCTTTGTCCTAACAGTGCTAAAATACCAGATGAGGCTAGATGCGTAAACAGTGAAAGAAATTGTCAAACTGCCCCACAGTCTTATTTAAGCAACCTTGCTCTATACCTGACAGTTCCTTTGTAAGACATCCTACAGCAGAAATACAACAAAGAAGCAGTTAAGATGAAGACTCATTGCTTTGTAGATCAACCTTGCAAAATCAAATTTTCATTGATTCAGTTTAAATATCCTGCCTGCAGGACCTTTGATCAACACAGACTGTCTCTACCGCTCTGTCCTTAGCTCTTCCCTGGAAGCTAAATAATGAAGACTTCCCTCTGCAAGCTGCATTCAAAGACCAAGTGTGAACTAAGTGGGCGTCAATTGTCAGTGGGCACAGTGGATGTGTGTTTTGGTGGAAGGGATACTCTTTAATCTTTGACCAGCTGGAGAGAAGACAATTGTGCTTCATCACTGAAGTGTGAAGTGATCAGTGCCAACCACACACACACAAACAACAGTCATTTACACTGCACAGTTTCTGTATGACCTCTCTGCCAAAACAGGAAGCAAACAGTCCCACAGAGTACATATAGAGACTGATGAGGTGTAGAAATTCTAATACAAGTGATATAAACCACACCATGTAAACTAGTGGAGGCACATTTTGGCAAAACAATGACGTCTCTTGGCTGGAGGCTTTTCTGTTT